ATGGCATACGCGCGCGTGTGTATGTGAGTGATTCACATCAGAAAAAATCGCTCAGGCCAGAAAAGAGCCTGCTGAATACTGCTCCATCCACTGGCTTTCAAACCTGCTGAAGCGAATATTTCAGAAAGGAAATAGAGCAGAGCCAAATTTTCCAGCCACGTGAAAACGAAAAGGGAGTTGCTTCCAGCCCCAAAGGATTTGAACCCGGGCTGCTGTCTGCTCCCAAGTCAGGGCCTGCCACCACCTTTCTCTTCTTATCTTAGGACATGACTTCTCAGAGCTCATGATGGACCCTAGCGTTAGCAATACACCTTTCCTCATCAAGCCCCCAGCCAGTCCCATCAAGTTCTTGTTTGACGAGCAGAGCTGACTCCAGGTTAGGCCTGAGGTGTTTATGGTTTCCTTGTACGTGTGTATGAACTGGGATGAGGAATGTGGGAAAGTCTGGTACTTTCAAGCAAGATAATAATGGAAATAGCTAACATTTAAAGAAACCTTACAAAGTGCTGGGAGTCTCTGAGTGGCAAAACCAGCTAAGTGCTGGTCTGCTAATTGAAAGGTTGGTGGTTTGAACCCACCTAGAGAGAGGCCTCTTGAGACAAAGAACTGGCAATTTGCTTCTGAAAGGTCACACCCCTAAAAATCCTAGGAGAGCAGTTCTGCTCTACAATACATGAGGTCACCATGACTTGGAATTGACTTGACAGCAACAGTTTTTAAAATTTTGTTTTATAGTCTAGTAGGTGCCAGGCTGGCGCTCCTTGGGAGAAAGGCAATCTCTTCTCATGTGGATTTACAGTCTCTGAAAACCCACTGTAGGATCAGCTATAATTTTTTTTTAAATGTTCTGGGGACTGACTTAAGCACTTTACAGCTCTTTAAATTTTGAAATTATCACCACTTTTAAAATAAGGAAACAGAAGCTGCTTTCTCCGTAAAACAATAGCAAAGCCCGACCTTTCAGTGTTAGCACTGGAATAGGAATGCCCCTTGGAGCTCAGAATGCCTTCGCTCAGATTTGACAGAGCTTAGTGGAAGCAATCCTTCCTGGAATGTATGTCTTCAGTAGAAAGAGGACACAAAGGGATGGCGACATCAGCCTGCAGGAGCGCCAGGTTCTGGAGGCAAATGCCACTGCATCATTGGATGCTCAGACACAGGTCAACAGCCAGTGGATTGCTCCAGTCCTGCCTCCTTCCTTCTTCACAGAGGCCGGGGCACCGGGGGGGGGGGGGGGGAGAGGGGGAGAGAGAGGGGTGCCTCTCTCCTCCCCCTCCTGAAGGTTTTGTTCCCCCCCATTCACCCCCCAGACTCCAATCTTTCTGCTTCTTGTAGAGTGCTGTGGTTTGAGCTGTCTCTGTCTCCAAGGGGATGGGTGATTTATATCCTTTTATTCAGCAAACAGCTTTGTACAGAACGGATGCGACTTGCTGAATGTCACCGGGCGGGGGCAGGGGAGCCGTGCAGAATCCTGATGAAGCCTTCAGGCCTGGGCAAAATGGCAAGGGGCGACTTTATGATTGTATGGTTTTCCCTCGTGGGAGTTGGAAAGGGGCAGCAGCCCTTGGAAGACTCCAGGATGGCTGACTTGCACAGCAGAGAAAGGCTGAGAAGTCTGGCATCAAATTCACCTGCTGGTGCCTACCTCTGCCTGCTTCTCCATCTTCTCTTGACACCTAGCAGGGGGCCCTCTGGAGACACCCCCTGTAGTTAGAGAAGTGAGGCCTCAGGGGAGGAGGGATTCTCTTAGTGGAGCTGAGTCAGTGTGCAGAGGCTATGAGAGCGGGGCCTTCAGAGCCCAAGGGCCTTCATGGTGACAGAACAAAGCGGCGGGACCCATACATCAGCATGAGCAGAGCAATCATCCCTTACCCCGCTCATGCTCTCTTTGCAAGCTCTTCACAATCTCTCCTCCTTGATGTCTGAAGCTCCTTGAGGGCATGAACAATGTCTGTTCACACACACACACTCGAACCCCCCCCCCCCAAGTGCCATGCTCAACTGTTTGTTGAGTGAACAATGAACGGCAGGATTGGGTTACCTAATAAGCAAGATAAGCATGGGCTTACTTACTAATCTGTAGTGAAGAATTTATAATTTTTTTCCACCATATCAAAGCTTTGGCTTCTATGTATGGCCGGTATTTTTCTCTCCCAATGCTACCAAACCTTCTTACAAAATTAAAGCCTCTTTTCAAATTGACATTTCCTGACAGGGATGGAGCTGCTCAGTGAGTACCCTACCCCTGTTGAATGGTGATGGAGTTTGCGCATGAACTCCCAGCCGATTCCTTGGAGGTGCAGGGTTGCTCCTGACAGAGGACAAGCTGTGGACTTGTGGTTTTGGGCAAACGATTCTGCATATAACTCCAGTGGGCAACAAAGCAGTTGGAATGGGAAAGAACACAGATTCATGGACATGGAGGTGACATCGCACAGTTCAGAACTCTCACTCTACAAGTGAGGAAACCTTAAGAAATGGCGTGCCCGTAGTTACACCACACATTCAGAGTAGAGACAGGGTTAGTGAATCTGATCCTTCACTGAGATCCAGCCCTTTCTCCTGCCTCCTCTCACTGGGAGAATTCACTAAGGTGGGAGTCCAGCCCGACCCACTCCAATCCTGGGCTAACTGGGTGACTCCCACTTCGGCGGTTAACCCTGCCTCTCACCCTTCATAGCAGCTGCCTCCACATGCAGCCTGGGGAGCTGAGGGGAAAGGAGGAGAAGGTGAGGGGTGCAGGGGTTGGGAGACGGTGGAGGTGGGATGGTAATTAAGTTTTACTGAACTGCTGAGCACAAGCTGAACCTGAGCCAAAGCCATGGTTTCCTCGTACTCTACATCAGTGTGGACCTGGGCCATTTGGGGGCTGAGGAAGGCAGAAGGGACGAGATGACAGTCTGGAGAATCTGTGTGTGAAGCAGGACAGTCACTCCAGCCCCAGAGCAGAGACAATAGGGGATGTGGGGCAGTGGGCAAGCACAGAGTGAGAAGACCTCTCCACTCTACTGCAAAAAGGGGGCAGACCCCCAAAGCAAAGCAAAGCAAAGGGCACAGGGATGAAAAGGAAGAAAAAGAGAAAAATATACTTTCTTCTCTTTTGCCTTTCCTCCACGTCTTCCTTCTGCACATTCCATACAGTAGACAGAACGCTGGAGGGGAGAGGACACCAGAGGGTGAAGAGGAAAAGGAGCCCAAGAGAGGGAGATGCTGGTTCTTAAACACCAGCATGAGTCAGTCTGAGGCAGGAGCTACCACATAAGAGCCTTCTGGGAATTCCAGGATCCCTCAGACAAATTCAAGCCCTCTTTCTTTGAACTCTATTCAGAATTACACAATCATCTCAGTCAGAAAATTTAGACATGTGTGAGGCTAAAGGGATTTCTGAGGACAAACAGTCTACTTCTCATGCTTCAGACACAGGCCCAAGGAGTAGTGACTTGTCCAAACACAGCACCAAGACCGCTCCCTAAATAGACACCAAGTGTCTGAGCTTTCAGACCAGGACACTGACGGCCTTGCTATCCAGAGTGGACAACTCCTCAAGCCTTCCAACCCAAGGTTAAAGGGAGCCCCAGCCTCAGTCTAGGCAGGTCCTTATTCCTCCTCAGGTCAGCATAAAATAGAGAGGTTTTTCTAGGAGTTTGCACACCAGGAGAAAGCAAGCTCACTAAACATTGCTGACATTCAAACAGAAAGTCGAAGGGCCTAGTGGAAGACAGAATACTAAGAACAAATCAGGGGTTTGAGGAAACAGACTCTTGGAGTCAACTTCATGGGGTCTCACCACCTCTGCCTCCAAGACCTTGCCCTTGAGCCCCAGACCAATGTAACCTCTCAGCTCAGCAGCTCTATACACCGAGTGTGGAGAGATCTAACCCTGCTGCCTGCCTGCTATCTCCCTGCCACTAAAGCTGAGCACTAGGTAGACCCTGAGGAGCCCTCCTCCCCAGTCCATTTGTTGTTGTTTGCCATGGAGTCAGAAGTGATCCATAGATGACTCTCCAAGAGTTTTTTCAGAGACAGTAAATCACACAAGAGGAGACTGCCCTCATCTTTCTCCCACAGAGCAGCTAGTGGATTTGAACTGCATACCTTTGGTATTATAGTACTGCTGCTTACCACTTGGCCACCAGAGCTCCCGCCTCCATTTATTTAGCTTCAGAAAAGTTGTTTTTTGTTTGTGGGGTTTTTTTGTTTGTTTTTTTTAGTGTTTTGGGGGGGGGGTGTTTGCTAGACAATTTATATTGTGGATTTATAAAATTACAGTATTTTCATTCTCTATGACGCCTCAGTCTAACCCTTTCTTTCTTGTGCCCCATGTTTCTGGTGGTGGCTAATGAGAAAACATTGGAGGCAGGAGTGGCATCCACTTCCCAAATAGCTTGCCTCCAGAAAGTCTATGAACTTGAAGAGACAATTAAAGTTATGCAAGTGTATAGGTCTTTGTTCATAAGGTCGCTATGAGCCAACTCGACTCGATGGCACTTAACAACAACAAGGAGAAAACAAATCTTGCTTGGTGAGCACGTAAAGTTGCAGGGCTCTGAGAATCCTGTAGGTGGTGGCTGGCAGAGGCGGTGCTGAGGGGCTAGCCCTTTTCTTTTCAAGCTTTTCTGTTGGAGAGTGGCAGCAAGGCTGGGGGCTTCTTGTTTCCTCTGGTCACACCTTTAGACCTCAGCCTCAAATGGCACCTGGCTCAGGACAGTAGTCAACAGCCTCAAAAAGGCTTTCAAAAGGGAAGCAGGTTCATCAGGACCGCGTGATTGGCTAAAGATGAGGTGATTCCAACTACTGCGGCCAATCAGGAAGCTTGTACGTTGGTGCAAGAATTTAGGGCGATTGCTAAATCTCCTATCTCCTGGACTCCCTTCTCCCTGATTTTTTCTTCCCTGGTAAGAGGGCCCTTAACTTCAAGGAGACTCTGGGAATGAGAGTTGTGGGACATAGGAAGAGGTGGGCCCAGTACCCCCAGAAGCCAGCTAGTGGGGAGCACTCACTCCAGCACGTCGCGGTTGAACGGTTTCTTGCTGTTGCCCAGGAACTCTCCAATCATCTGACGGCTGAGCCCTTTACGCTGGAGGAGGAAATGGGCCACTCCGATGGGGGTGTCCGGGATGAAGCCCCGTGAGATCAGGAACTGGATGCCTTTGTCTGGGTTTCTGGAGAGGCGACGTGGAGACGTGGGGGAAGAAGAAAAGTGCAGAGTGAGACAAAGCCATCTGTAACCTCTTTTCTTCCAGCCCAGGGAAACCCTAGAAGTCCCTAGGATCCCTGGAACGCATTCTCAGGAAGGGCCAGCGTTCATTCCACCCTAGAGGTATCCCTCATAGAGGAACCTCCCAGCAGAGCCTCATTCTGAGACTCCCCAGGGTGGAATGAGGACCACTTCAAAGTGGGAAGAGAGTTCTGACACTAAGCAGAGTGAAAATTCCAGAGCAGGAGGAGGACTGCTGAGGAGTCTCTTCTCCCTCCCAGCTTCACTCCTGTTGGATTTTCCCCTTAGGGTGTGGTGTCCCATCTTCCCCCTTGCCCCCTCAGGCCCTTCCTAACTTCCTGCATTTGTTGTCATAAGTGGTACCCACTTTGGAAGCAGAAGAGAGTACAAGAAATAAAAGTGGGTTCTCCCACCCTCCTCTCTCCTCCCTCCCCGTGGTACTAACTAGACTCCTGCTCTCCTGGTCTACCCTGAGAGCTGAGCCTCTGTTAGGTCAATGCTATGTCTTAAGGGAAATGTACTCTTAAAAATTTGATCGGCAGATCCATGTTTATCCCTGGACTGTTTCTTATTGCCAAGCGAAAAAAGGCACAGACATTGAGGGTAAGCACCTAGAACTTTTTATAGCACATGGCATTTTCAGGACAGCCAAGCATGTGATTGTTTTTCTAGGATTTCATCTTGTATTGTGTTTTAGAAAAGCATCAGCCTAATCTGTATTGGGAAGACCTGGCTTTTCGCTACAGATCATCTGGCAATCACTGTGTTGGGGGATCTGAGTGTCTATGTGAACATTTGGGGATGAATGAGGATAAGTGCGCAGGGGTCTGTGCACACCAAGATAGTAGCCTGGCATAGAAGAGCAATGAATTTGAGGTTGGACAGAGTTTACTTCACCTAACTCTGTCAACTCTTAGCTGTTTAATGGTGTGCTGTTCACCTTATTTGTATGAACCTGTGTTCTTTCCTATAAAATAGTATAATTATACATATTTCTGGGTAAGAAGCCTGTTGAACAATTAAACATTCAGCTGCTAACTGAAAAGGTGGCAATTCAAACCAACCCAGACACTCCTTGGAAGAAAAACCCGGCAATCTGCATCTATAGAGTTTACAGTCGAGACAATGTTGTGGCTGTGCTTCTGCTCCTCACACTGGGTGGCTGTGAGTCAGAATTGTCTCTATATATTGCTGAACGAGATTACAGACAGACACTCTCCATAAGGTGAGCTATACATGGTAGCTATTCCCCCTAGAATGTAAGCTACTTGAGACCATGGGATGTATCTTTCTCATCTTTGTGGCTCGCATGTCCAGCAGTCAGTAACTGTCAGATGAATAAGTAAATGAACACAGATGTGGGCAGGAAGGTTGCCATGTTTTTGGCTCAGCTGTGAGTGGGTGGCAGATGGAGATGAGTACTTCCTGTACTTTTTATTTCCTGGAAAGGACACATACTTCCTTTGCTTGGCACCAGGTGTATACATTCCCGAGTGGTCTGGTTCAAGCTCTGACTCTAAGTTGTAGTAATAACTTGTTTTTCTCATTACTGACTTACTCTCCTTTCTATTTTCTACTTTCTGCTCTCCTCTATCCTCCACCTTGCCTCTCAACCTCACCTCATTCATCCCTTTTGTCATTCTTTTCTTTTCAGTGACCTGATGAGGGAGCTCTGGTAGCCTAGTGGTAAGGAGTTGTTCTGTCAACCCAAAGGCATGTGGTTCAAATTCATCAGGGAGAAAGATGGGCAATCTTCTCTGTTCAATTTACTAATTCTAAAAACCCACTGGAGGGTCAACTGTGAGTCAGTTCCAACTTAAAGGTACATAACAACAACATCTGACCCCCATGATACAATGCTGTGTTTCCCTTAGGATGAACGTTATACAAGTCTTCAGGTCTTTCATTCCTAGGGTTGCTATGAGTCGCCTAGGACTCGATGGCACTTAACAACATAGAGAGAGCTCAGTTGGCCTAGTGGACAGAAAGTGATGCTGCTAAGACAAAGGTGGGTGACTTTAATCCGTGGCCCTCAAGCCTGTTTTTAATTGTTTTTGTTCAAACATTCTTCTAGGTCATATAGCCCTGGTCTGTCCACTTGCTGTACAGAGGTAACTTGTGTTTGCTGTGATGCTGAACACTGTGACACTGATGTGTCAAATGTGATAATGGTCACCCATGGTGGACAGTGTTTTGTGTGCTTCCTGATTAAAACAAGCTTGGAAGCAGGAGTGACATACCCTTCCTAAATAGCTTGCATCCAGAAATCCTATGAACCTGGAGAAACAATGAAAGTTATGCAGGTGTTCAGGTCTTTCATTCACAGGGTCGCTATGAGTCGCCTATGACTCGACGGCACTTAACAAACAACAACAAGAAGAACAGCAACATATTTTCTTTTAAATTCTCTCTCTTTTCAAAACTTTAGCTTCATTTTAAGCACTAGTAGTTGTGAAGCCATGGGTTTGATGTATTGTATTTCCCCTAATACTTCTTAAGAGAAATTTATAGCAATTAAAAATAGAACAGCCAGAAGAGAAATGAGAATGTTCACACACTGTGAAGAATATAACCAATGAAAGCAAACAACTTGTGTAGAAGCTGAGTGGGAACCTAAAGTATAAAACATTCACCGAAAATATAATAAAATGTTTTATATTTTTTTAACATTAGAAATATTATATTAAAAACGTGGCACCCTCAACATCGTCTTAGGGACCAAGGGTGGCACAGATGCTACCTCCTGACACTATGCTTGGTGGATAAACCAAAACCAAACTCAACCCAACATGTAATGCACTGTGCCCTCAGGGCTTCTTGCCTAGTGAATAATAGTTGCCAAAAAGTTTGTAGTTTGCTTCTACATAGTCACAGCTTTAAAAACCCTGTGGAGTGTGCTTGTTGGTCAGACTTAGGTTTGCCCAAGCAACCTTTGGCACAAGTAAAATTCTTTGCCAAGAAAACAAACCCTGTGGAATACAGTTGTACTCTGCAATGTCTGAGTCCTCCGAGAGCAATGGTTGTTTGGTGGTCGGTTCTTAAAGGAAAATTCCCCCACTACCCTTCCTGCCCACCTTCCAGCCTTGGCAGGACTTAGCAGGCCTAATGCTTACTTACATGTTAAAGAGGTTGAGGCCGATGCGGTAGAGCCTCTTGCGCAGGGTGTCGGTGGAGAGCGTGGGTGATTTGCAGCTGGCCGGGTTCTCGCAGTGGTAGCGTGGCAGGCTCAGGATCATGGCCTGCAGGGCCTCCTTGGAGGCGGAGGCTGACACCTCAGAGCTGGACTTAGCAGACTTGGTGGACGTGCTGCTGCTGCTCAGCTGCTCAGAGTTGTCCCCAGCCTCAGCCTCAGCCCCAGTCCCTTTTCCTACATCCCCTATCACTTCTTCCTCCTCTGCATCCTCAGTCACAGCCTTCTCTGCCACCTCCTCAGCTGCCTCGAGCTGGTTGGCGTGCCCTGCTGAACTGGTCCCAGCCTCTGTGCAGAGATCTTCTATGGGTACATCCCCCTGACCCCCTGTGGAGGACTCCTGGCCCCCAGCCTCACCCTGCTCAGCTTTGCCAGTGTCAGGCTCCGAGGTGGCCTGGGAAGTCTGTGCGCCCAGGCAGTTAGCCACGGACACAGCCGTGGAGGAGGAGACAGATATGTTCTGGCTGGCGATCTGCACTGTGACGTCCCGGAAAGCCATCATAAGGGTGCCACTGTGGCTCTGGGGCAGGCCAGTGGCTTCAGTGGTCTCATCCCCTAGCCCTGGGCCGGTGCCCTCAGACTCATGAAGCTCAGCCTCCAAGCCTGATGGCCCAGCACCCGCATGCAGAGCCTGGTGGATTTGGTAAGCGCTGCTCTCCTGCAGAGAGCACATGGTCTTGAGGCTCCAGGTGCTGAGGGCATCATCGATGGACTTGGCCAGGGACTGCACCTGTTCGGTAAAGGAGTCCTCCAGCTCAGTAAGTGTGCCAGCGAAGGTGGGCGGCAGGGAAGGTGAGCGCATTAGGGGCAGCCCTATGAGGCCGTAGCCCTCCATGAGTGCCTTCTCAGCTGCCAGGCTCTCGGCCATGGGGGCCCGCACCTTGCGCAGGGAGATACGCCTTGGTAGGCGGCTCTCCAGGAGTGAGTTGCGGATCTTCTCAAAGTTCTTGCTGAGTTGGTATTGGCGGAAAGCGGTTTGGATGGTGCAAGCAGCGCGCCGGGACACCAAGTGGCCCCCGTACTTGTGTTCTAGCATTTCAATCTGCAACAAAACAGAGGTGCAAAGAGCTCATTGAGGAAGGAGTGTTCAATCCTCCTGCAATGATAAGAGTAATGCATATCAATCAATACTAGGAGTGGCCAGGACAAACTTTGGTCTGTCCCCCCTCCCCCTCCCTCAGAATTCACAGCTGGAAAGGCCTGAGAGGGTGGAGCACTAGCCTGAAAACTATCATGGAAGAAGTCATGTTCTTGACAGATACCAGGTCCTTGGCAAGACTCTAGAAGTGTAAATCACAGGATAAGAGAATCAGAGATTGATGAAGTCCCAAGGGACAGGAAGGAGAGAAAAAGGGGAGGAGAGACACTTTGTTGATGGTATTCAGATATTGCCACTGTGGTAGTGATTTTTTTAAAAAAAGAAATCTTCCTATTAGAGAAGCATGCTGAAGTATTTATAGGTGAAATACATGAGATCTTGTATTTGAATTAAAATGCTCCATCAAAAAAGTAGAAGGGTTAACGGAAATAAGATTAGTAATAAAAATATTGATAAAATAAGGATATTAATAAAATAGTTGGAGCTAGGTGATAGATATTAGAGTTTATTACACTATTCATTCTATTTAGTGTATATTTAAAAATAATACAATCTTAAACAAATGCTTACAAAGAACTACTGCTACTTCAGCTCACCTGCTTTCCCTCCAGCATTCATGTCAGTGCACTGGGACAGTTCCCTGTTCTTGGGAGCATAAGGTCTGGGACTGGGGTTTAATCATCTCCCTCACTCCCTAGTTAGCCTAGGCACAGGCATTATACTCAATAAATGTGAACCGTGTGAAGAGATGGGTAGATGGATGGATAGATGGATGGTTGTTTCAGGAGTGGATTTCTCTCTAAGTCACCATGATCAGTGGTTCCACACTTTAAGACAACTCTGTTCACAACAATGGGAGCTATCCAACCAGAACAGAGCTTGGTTGGTGGGGGTGGCATGTCAGTTGGGGAAATCTCAATATGAGGCCTTAATGTCCATTTTCAAGGCCCTTAAACACCTCATCACCCCCAGTCTGTGTGGTCTTTCCTCTCATTCAGGTTGTTACACACTCAGTTTTTATCTTTTATCATAACTTTCCAGGTGTAGGTGGCCAATAGCATTTAAATGTGTTCCATTTCTGGAAGTGTCTACATTTAAGTAAGGAACAAGGATGATCTTAAGAGAATGGAGTTAGTGGTAGCATTGTGTGTCCTGATTGGTCCTTAGAGAAATTTGGGAAGTGGAAAAGTGTTCTTGGACCATGAAATTATATGTCCTGTACACAGTAATATACTCCACTTACACATAATGTCATACCTAAATTAAGAATCATGATGGATGGGCTAAGACAACTCAAGGCAATAACAGCATCATCACTCCCAGGTACCCCAGGAATCAGAGTGGTGAAGGTTACCACTAAAAAGACAAAGTTGAATCCCTCAACACAACATTTTAACCCACATCATGCACCTGCTCCTCTCCTACACACCCTCTCACTCACAACCCCTGAATTTAATGGACACCTCACAGTTGGAATCACACCTAACATTCATAACCCCATGTCCCCAGAATGACCTCAGGGATGGGTTGCACAGGAGTCAGATTGATTACATCTCTGTAAGGAATCACTGGGGAACTTCAGAATCAACAGTGAAAGCAAGGCCAGGTGCTGATTGTGGAACAGACCATCAATTACTCATATGCAAGTTCAAATTAAAGCTAAAGAAGGTCAAATAATATCCACAGGAATAAAAATTTGATCTTGAGTCTATCCACCATGAATTTAAAAACCAACTCAGGAACAGATCTGAGGCCTTGAACACTAATGAACAACGACCAAATGAGCTGTGTGAAGATAACAATAATATCGTCCATGAAGAATACAAAAGGAGGAAGAAGACAAAATGAATTTCAGAAGAGACTCTGAATATTGCACTAGAGTTCCAAGAAGCCAAAGCAAAGGGAAGAAATGAAGACATTAAGGAGCTGAATAGAAGATTTCAAAGGGTAGCTTAGGAAGACAAGACAAAGTATTATAACAAACTGTGCAAGGAGCTTGAGTTGGAAAATCAAAAGGGCCGAACTTGCTTAGCATTTCTTAAGCTGAAAGAACAAATTCAAGCCATGAGTTGCAATTCTTAAAGATGTTATTGGCAGAATACTGAATGATACAGGAAGCATTAAATAAAGATTGAAGGAGTATACGGAGTCACCGTCCCAAAAAGAATTGGCTGGCACAGAAGAATTTCAAGAAACAACATAGAATCAGGAGGCAATGGTGATGAAGGAGAAGGTTCGGGCTGGTCTAAGGACTTGGCAAATATATAAAGTCCCAGGAATTGATAGATGCTGCCCTGGACATGCTCACCAGGTTGTGCCAAGAAATCTGGAGGACAGCTATCTGGCCAACTGACTGGAAGAGATCCATATTTATTCCCATTCCCCCAAAAGGTGACCCAACAGACTATGGGAATTATCAAGCAATATCACACTAGCAAAATCCTGCTGAAAATTATAAAAAAATGAATAGAACACTGTATTGACAGAGAACTACCAGAAATAGAACCTGGGTTTATAAGTGGTGGTGGCACTAGAGACATTATCGCCAATGTCAAATGGATCGTGGCAGAAATCAAAGAGTACCAGTTTCATTGACTATGCAAAAGCACTTAACTGTGTGGATCACAACAAATTTTGTGGCTAAACTTGAGGAAAATGGGAATCCCAGAACACTTGATTGTGCTTATGTGAAACCTACACTTGGACCAGGAAGCAGTCATCAGAATAGAGCAAGGTAACACTGCATAGTTCAAAATAAGAAAATTGGCAGAATCAATCATGATAGATGGAGAAGAGACTGGGGTTGCTAACAATTACAGCTTGCTCCGCAATCAACACTCTTGGCACTAGCAGTCAGGAAAGCAAAAGATAAATTGCACTGGGAAAATTTACTCTCAGGGAACTTTCCAGGCTACTGAAAAGCAACGAAATCAGTCTAGAGACTAAGGTGTGCCTAATCAAGGCCATGGTCTTCACAATTACTTGCTATGCAGCAGAGAGCTAGACAGTGACTAAGAATAACAGAAGAATTGATGCCTTCAAATTGTGGTGCTCAAGAGAGTCTTGAACATACCATGGACCATCAAGAAAACAAATAGGTCTGTCTCAGAGAGGGTGAAACCAAGTTTCTTCTTAGAGGCTAGGCTTTTGAAGCTCCATCTCACTTACTGTGGGCACATGGCTAGGAGGGACCAGTCCTCTGAGAAGGGAATCATGGTTGGAAAGGAAGAGGAACAGCTCAGGAGAGGAAGACCCCGGATGTGATGGATTTATACAGTAACTGGGGCAATTTTGGGGGGTAGGTGTGTCTGAGTCAGTGAGACTGGCTCAAGACAGCGCAGGCTTCAGAGGTGCTATGCATAGGGTCACTATGAGTCACAGGCAACTTGACGGCTCTTAACAACAATAACAAACATTTGTTTCAGCTTTGCCAACCTTGCCATTCCGTGTCTGTCTCCTACTGTAATCTGTCTCTCTCTATTCTCCAGAGAGAATTAGAAAATGTATTTGTATTAATGCTTAAATGGCTAAGAAAGCTTCCTAGATGAGTCCCCACCCCATCACTGGAAATATCTGCATTTCACAAGATCCAGAGCCTGAAGCAGGAGGCAGGGAACTCTCTTAGTAATCACAAGCCTTAGATTGGCTGAGGCCTTTAAGGTGCTCTTTAAAAATCATGCCAAGTGCTGCTGGAAGAATTCCAAGTTTTGCAGCAGTGGGCTGAGCCTCTAAATTCCTAGAGGCTGTTCACTGCCACATGACCTCCACAGTGTAGTAATTTACTCCTTGAAGACCAACGAGTGCATCTCTGATGCCTTACCTTTTAAAGGGATCACCTGACTAGGCCAGGCTCTCTCAGGATAATCTCCCTTTTGAATTATTCATAGACTTCTGATGTGAAACTTCATCACAGAAGTAGTATTCCATCATATTCACTAATCCTGCATGTACTCAAGGTGGGGAAGATTATACAAATGTGTACACCAGTGGGCACAGACCTTGAGGGCCATCTACTATACCAGGTAGATAACCCAAACAGTGCAAAGCCAACTCAGAGCCATTCTACTGGACAGAGTAAGATTGCCCCAAAAGGTTTTAAGGCTGAAATCTTTAACAAAGTCGACAGCAACATCTTTCTCTTAAAAAGTAGCTGTTGGGTTCCAACTTCCAGCCTTTCAGCTAACAGCTGAGCACCTAACCACTGTACCACCAAGACTCTGACGTGGTGGATACAGTAGTCTGTGCCTTACGTATCCTCATTTACCCATGGCCTCATAGACTCATGAGCTTCAGAGAAACACAGATGTCTGCTGCAGAGGCCTTCTGTTCCTGCTTTTGCTAAATCCTTCTAGAGGGGAAAGAACATTGCAGCTCAGCTTGTTCTCCTTGCAGAATCTGGTAGGTCCCTTAAGCTCCAGTATGGACATTTGACCTCAGTTTAAGTAGAAAAGCACTGCCAGGGGGTAGAAGAGCACTGAGTAGGTGAGACTGATTACTTAACTGTCTCTGTCCCTCTCAATAACTGTCATCCTTTTTGTTTTCAATTAAATTTTTATTGTGATTTGAGTGAGAGTTTACAGAGGAAATTGGGGTTTCCTTCAATAATTCATAGATACTGTGTTTTCTGACATTAATTAAAATCCCCACATTGTACCAGCACTTCCTGTCTGTGTTTCTGGTTTCCATTTGTCCTTTCGCTTTTCTTTCCTACTGAGCTTTATCCAGGCACAGATGCTGCCCTTTTGGTCTGGTCTTATTGACTGTTCTAAGAAGTGCATTCTTTCCTGGTATTATTAATCACCTTTTAGGCCTGTCTCTTAGTTGACTAAAAGGTGAGTCACAGGGTGATTTTAGTTCTAGGCCTGAAAGGTGATGAGGGGCTATAGTGCTGAAGTTTCCCCTCAGCCCTTACTGGATCAATAAGCATGGTCTTTTTAAATGAT